ATATAAATATTATTATTATTATTATCATCATCTTATTTATTATTATTAAATTATTATTATTATTATTATTATTATCATTTTATTGTTTTTTTTACTGGTGTTTGGTACAAACGAGGGCATGGCACTCGACTGTCAGAACTTTGTAAGAACTCTCGCAAATAAGCTTTCGACTAAGGACAATAAACCCTACGCCAGCGTTTTTTCCTGGCTTCGAATACAGCTCTCATTTGCTATATTAAGAACTGTACACAGATGCATCAGAGGTTCTAGGTATCCATTCAAATCACGTGAGAACTAAAAATAAGAGAATTCAAAATAGTTGACAAGACAGGTTTAGTAAACAGGTGTCTCGCCCTACTAATCTGACATAACATGGACAGGAGAGACGATGTTAATGTGTTTACATGATCATTAACGTTGAGGTATGAGTTCAGTGTAATGCCTAAGTCTTTAACTGAGGAAACCGGAGTGAGTCCTTGGTCGAGGAAGGGCCCTGATGTCTGATACCCTGCTTAGGAGCTGCCTTGTCCCGAAAAATATGAGTTTGGTTTTACTTGGATTTATCAGTAATTGGTGTGAGCAACACCATCCAGCAATGAGACGTAGGTCTTCCGTCATTTTTACAGGGCAAGAATTCATGTTTTTAGCCGAAAAGGAACAGTAGATCTTAGTATCGTCAACGTAGGAATCGGTACAGCTGGACTTAACTGCGGAGGGTAGATCATTTATATCTAAGTTGAACAACATGGGACCTAAGATGGAGCCTTGAGGCAAGCCATGTGTTATCGTAAGCTCATCAGATAGAGAGGTGCCTAATCAAGTAGACTGCTTGCGGTCCGTGAGGTAACTCTCGAACCATTTACGAGCCTGACTTGATGTGCCTAGGCTGCTTAGTTTGAGAAGAAGTGTACTGTGGCAAATACTGTCGAAGGCCTTGCTGAGGTCTATAAGGACCATAGCCGTCAATTGCTGTTGGTCTATAGCCCTGAAGATATGATCAGTAAACAGATAGCCTGTTCCAGGCTCCGAGATAGTCGGGTCCGCTGAACTGAGAAAGCGCAAAGACGAAAATAAAACGGGAGGTTTCACGTGCCTTTTACTTTCGCGTCTTCCTCACTATTTGAGAGCTGGAACAGGCTAGTAACCAGAAGGATCAGAGTTTCGGTAGAATGGTTCTTACGGTTCCCGCTCTGACGTTGAGTTAGTTTGTCTTGCTTAGTCAGGAAGTCAGTAAATTGAATCAAGGCAATCTTCTCAGCCACTTTAGAAAGGACAGGAAGCAATGAGATCGGCCGGTTGTTATTGGGGACTTCATGATCACAGTCTTTTAGGTGGGGTACAATCACAGACTTTTTCTGAACCCTAGCTAGGGAATTCAGAACAGGCAAACGAGGAGTTGTGATAGATTATTTAATAAAAACGTTATAAATGACTCAAATTATTCTTTTAAGACTCCTGGTTTGCCTGTTCTGACGCTGTTCTGACGCTGTCCTGTTCTGTTCTGACGCAACTTAAAAGTTTTCACGTTATGCTAATTTTTCCAAAATAATGCGCACTATACATTCCTTTATGACTAGTACATTTATAGTTTGAATTTATCGCATCTTTTGAATGTAAAACATTTTGACAATACTCACACTGAAATTTCAATCCATAGTCAATCACTGGTGAAAATTTTATAGCGATCAGACAAAGGTAAAATCACTTTTAAAGCGATTGAAAAATATCGGTACGGCCTCTGAAAAACAGGCCCTCGAAACACCTTAATAAGCTAATCATTTTTTTCATATCGCGTAACGCAATATTGAAAGTAGATTTGCCATGGCCACCCTAGTTAAGATATCTCTAAATATAACTTAGATTCTGTAAAAAAAATTATTTATTAAAATTTATCATTTAGTCTGAGAGACGTTCTGATGGAAAAACAACTTGCACCGAAAGCGAACTCAACTGTTTTGTACTTGCAGATTCAGTGCAAGTAAGGGGTGGAAATCTAGATGTCCTCGAGTTGTAGTGCGACCACAAATACTGAATACTCGTTAGCTTTTCAAGTTATTTCACTCAAGAGAAAGGAATTATGAAAGCTAGAGAAATACACTATAAATAGTTACGTCATGCAGTGAGTTATGCCCCAACTTAAGTTGCATTTATTCCGCTACTTTTCACAACTAGAAAATGCTGATCGTTCTTTGTGCAACTTCAGTTGAAAGAGGCGGAAATTTGCTTTATCGATGAAATAAAGTATGAAGTAGTTTCTTCAAATAATTATGTTTAGGCAAACTCACTCCTTTACACTGCTTCCGTTTTGAAACAGCCCTAAGCCTTGTGAATTTCAAAGTCTGAAAATTATTTAAGTTTTGAAAGAATACGGCTACTGGAAAAAAGACCAAAAAACAAGGCGAAGAGGGTTTGAAATCCAGAACTCAAAGACGCACCGGAAGATTCGGCAACCGATCCTGTTGTAGGCCTTGTAGAAATACTTGGACGAGAGTTGACGCCT